CTAATAAGATAAATTAAAAATCTTTTGTAGTAAGTTGAAAATTAAGGCTGGAGGAATTATAAAGATAATCATTTACATTTCTCAAATAGAAAAAGGCTTAAATAGAAATATAATTATGCCAAATGATCTTTAGCTCCCTAACTATTTAAACCTAGCAGTTTATTACGAAGACTTCCTCAGCTGGAAATAACTCTTGAAATTGTCGCAAATTGCTTGGAAGCGACAGCGGGAAGAGGAATCAATCAAGTGTTGCTGTCCCCAAAATGCATGACTTTTCAGAGGAACTGAAAGTTGTGAAAGAAGAATACAAAAAAACCTTTTTTTTTTTTTTCAGTTAAGCAAGCAAAAGCTCTATCTGCCTTCTCTTTGGCTTTAGAGCCTTTTATTCAAGTCTTCCCTTTCTCCCCTTTTTGCATAAAAAATATTATAAACTAATGCTGTGTTGGGTATTAGTTGGGACCTTGTAATATGTTAATTTCGTAAAGTCTGTGTATGTGCATTATACATCTGTATATGTACATTTATATGTAGCATATATGTACATACATGTGTTCACAAACATACCTATTCAAAAGAATTTAAGTGCAATAAGAGTTGCATTATAACACTATACTATCTTGACCAGTTATTTCTCTAACAAGTCCTGTAGGTTTCTTAGATTCCTTAGTATGTCTTTATTTCCCATATTAAAAGCATGACGTCTGTGAGGTATCTCAGCCAAGGACTTGGAGAACCTCACCTGTCAGAGTACCCAGGACTTTGCTTTTTCAAGGAAAGCCATAGGTAAAGAAAGGAACAGTGATTCTGAAAGTGTAAGCCATGGAAACCTGGTAACCTAGCCTTTTTTAAGAGGTCCCACAATGCTAAGATGTTTTCTGTCTCTTTCACTGATGGTGCAAATGCAGCAATGGACAAGGCACATTCACACACTCAAAGTGAGGCACCAGACTGCTAAAGAGATTGTAGTCTTTACTGGGACACACTTGAAAGTTTTTTTAAAGAGCCAGTTTCATTTAACATCCTTGTTGAAGCAGTAAAAAGTATTATTTTAATAACGTTCAGCCTTTGACCACATGATGTATTCATACACTGCTTGATGAAATGGAAAGGATATACAAAGCACTTCTGCTGCATTCCAGAGTACAATAGGTGTCTCGAGACAAAGCCCTTATATGACTGAGGCGAAAGTAGAATTTGCTGCTTTATCCTATTACTCTACTTTTGGTTGAATGAAACAACTGATTATTCAGACTTGGGTATGTGGCATATATGTCCTTAAAGTGAATTAAGAGAGCCTGACACATCAAGGAGAACAACTAATGATATTTGTTGACAGTGATAAAATTCCAACTTTCCAGTGATAATTAGAATTTTGGAAAACTTACATTCACCACCGTGAACTTGACAGCTTCCCAGTGCCTAAACATTTTTCTGATGATAACAGTGGTGGTATTAATGAATGTGTTTTTTAAATATTTTATTATTATTAAATGTTATTACTATTTTATTATTATGAAATGTGTCAACATTTAGAAGATCTGCATAACTCAGTGATCCAATGTTTTCCAAATTACCAATGCATAATGTGACAAAATCATGCATGGGTAAAAAGATCCATTCGGAGTGCAAGATCAACTAATGAGTTTTAATATAATGAAGTTTGAAAAGTTCTTTGAAGTTGTTTCCAGATTCCATATTGCAACTAACCTAGTCAAGGTTTGGTATAGTATCAAAAATGAAGATCCATGATAATTTTTTTTAAAAAGACACTCCTTCCTTTTCTAACCACAGGTCTTTGTGAAGCCAAGTTTGATTCATAAATTTAAGTAAAAATAACATATCTTATCACCATAGAATGAACGTAGAAGTAGATATGAAAATTCTGGCTTAGAATATTAAGCCAGATGTTAGAGGGATTTGCAAAAGTACAAAACACTGCCATTATTTTCACTGATTTTTTTGTTCTAGAAAATATGATTTGTTTTCACAATAATATATACTCATGTAATGAGTTTATTTTTAATGAGTTATTGTATATCTTTAAAATGTCTTGATTTTCATTTCTGATATAGTAAATATTTATAGGTCTAGCCAACATAAATACATTGGGTTTCTCCTCATTATGTTGTAGACCAAGGGGTCCTGAGACAAAAATGTTTCAGCACCACTGCTCTATATTGGTGGATTTTATTCCTGAAGTGGTCACTCAAATAAACAAGCCCAATTTCCTCCAAGATACAAAAGAATTTATTATGGAAGAGACAGACAACAAATCTCTCAAGGAACAGTGGACTACAACACAAGTCGTTTGCTAACTCTACCATGGTCACTGCAGCTGATTAGGGTCACCCCATATCTGAGTTGGATGAGCATTGCTCCATGAATAAGCATCTGCATTTATCAAGTCATTTATCCAACAGACTGTTGTTCAGAGCCTCTTGTTTTGTAGGCACTATGGAAAGTAATGGGGACACAAAATAGAATGAGACAGGAGCTTCTGAAGCGGAACTTGGAAGTCAACATGCGTTAGTGCCATTTGTGACTGCTGCTGAAACAACTGTGGCTAGCAAACATTTGGGGCAGTGAGACTGTAATGATTCGTTGAGAAGAGAAGAGGACATAAAGTGTCAGAAGAATCAAAGTCTGACCTAGATGGAAATTTTAATGACACGAGGAATATGCAAAGTCATTTACTGAGCTTGCGTGGTTTGCCTGCAACATATATTTTGAGGTCATACAAAGAAGAGATCCAAAAAAATGGAATTTATTTATTAAAAATTTTGTGTATTCATTCTCACATGTTTAAATTTCAGTCACCTTCAAAGTACTTTCCATTTGATGCAATACACCTATCCAGATGCTTTTTCTACTGTTCAAAACAGTTTTTGAACTTGTCAATTTTGATGTCTTTTACTGCTTCTGTTGTTTTTTTCTTTCATCTCCTCCATATTGGCAAAATGTTTCCCTTTGAGGACTTTTTTTAATCCAGGGAAACAAAAAAAAAAAGTCACTCAGGGTGAGATCGGGTTAATAGGGAGGGTGGAACAAGAGTCATGCTGTTTTTTGGTTAAAAACTGAGGAACAAAATTTCACTGCCTCACATTGTTCATGTAAATCACCCATCATGAGGCGGACAAATGCATTGAAATAATCTCTAAAAAAAATTCACTGAAGCCGAATGCAGTCTCTCACAATGCTAGCAGGTACCCTGATGCCGATGGGTTCCTAGAACACATACCTAACTGGAGAAGTCTGTACAACAAGGAGCCCACCCTACAAAAGATAATTCTGGGTTTTTCTTGGCCCTCCTCCTCGTACAACTTCCCCTAAAGAAGCTTGCAACCTACTGGTGGTATCAGAATGGTGTTAAAGAAAGTTGTGTTTCAGTAAATTGAAGAAATCATATCAAATGCTGCATAGATGTCAAGTAGGGAGGTCATAGGAAAGAGTATCACCAGGCAGTTGAAATTTTCAACATTGTGTGAGGGAACAAATCCAAAAGAAATGAAAATTACTGTTTAAGAAAAAGTCATAAACCAGCAAGACAAAATAAAGTTCCAAAGCTATAACCACCAATGAAATCAGAGAAGAGACTTTGCTCTTACCTGTGGTGTTTATTGTCTATCCAGTTCTTAATTCAGTATCAGGGAAGAAAGTTTCAAGAAATAAACAAGATTTGGAAAAGTAGGCAGCAAATATAGCCTAATTAGGACTAAATAAACAAGGACAGATATAGAGAGATAGATTATCAGATCTAAAGAAGACAGAGGGAGATACATTTTCTTTTTGGCCTTTTTTTTGGCCTTTGTTGGCTACCCTTATTCCTTTCCATAAGATAAGAAAATTTCTCCTCACAATCACAGGCTGATTTACCTCAAGTCTTGGATCACAGTAAAGGTAGCGGGAGTGAGGACTGAGAATTGGAGAATACAGACCAAGAAAAGGATGTGCCTCTTTTCCCAGAGCTTCAGATGTTCCTTATTCATTTATCTTCTGTCATTTAGGTATAGAGAGGAGTTTCCAGGGCAAACTGATTTCCCAGAGGAGAAAATCAGGATAAGTTTGGGGTTCACGGTGAAATGTGAAATGTACAGGAAATCGATAAAAGAAATCAAGACAAGCATAGGGACACAAAAAAAAGCAAGAGAAATTAGGTCCTCCCCAACCCATCACCACCATCAATAAGATCTTTACTCCTAAAAGAGAAGAACCATGTAACAACATTGTTTTTCTTCCCAATGGAGCAAGTAACTGCCTTACAAATAAGGCTCAGTAAAGAATACACAAATGAAAGCTGAAATAGTGAAATGTCTCTTAAAAAATAACCCAAGATAGTAAGATGAACAGCAACAACATTTCAAAGGATAGGCTCTATTCTTTCTGGCATCTTTGTGTTTAAGAGAAGTGAGAAGCCGGGCTCGGTGGCTCAGCCTGTAATCCTGAGCTTTTGGAGGCTGAGGTGAGTGGACTGCCTGAGCCCGCGGGTTCGAGACCCGCCTGGGCAACTTGGCGAAACCTCATCTCTACAATAAATCAAAAAATTAGCCAGGCATGGTAGCGCACACCTGTAGTTCCAGCTACTTGGAAGGCTGAGGCGGAAGGATCACTGGAGCCCAGCAGGTCGAGGCTGTGGTGGCCGGGAGCGGCCACTGCACTCCAGTCTGGGTGACAGAGTGAGACTCCAACTCAAAAAAAAAAAAGAGAGAGAAGTGAGGGTCCTGGAAATAACTGAGACTTGGCAACTGTTCTAGTCATGATCTGTCTGTCCCACATGGAGCACAAAGGAAACATGATTATTAGACAGCAATTCAGTGAAGATGCTTGCCTTTTCCATATAGGTCTCCTTATTTCCTCAACTATTGGTTTTATTCAATGGCTCATTGAAACACTGATGTGCTTTGACAGCTCCTGCATGAATTCAAACCTCTGCTCTGATGGATTAGAGTCGCATGTCAAATGCTGGTTGCAGTATGTTGTGCTTGAAGATAAATGAATTCACCAGTACTCTCTCCTTTCTCAGAAACATGATTCCAGTGACAGAATTCCGGCAGTTCTCTGAGCAGCAGCCTGCCTTCCGGGTGCTGAAGCCATGGTGGGATGTGTTTACTGATTACCTCTCGGTGGCCATGCTCATGATCGGCGTATTTGGATGCACTTTACAGGTAGGTGCCTAGACCCACGGCAAAGTTGGAGCCAGAGCAAGACACCAGGTCAATGAAGCCTCCTCAGAGAGCTGGCTGTGTGGTTTTTGACCATGTAAATATCAGTTACTCTTCTCTGTTTGTAAGTGGCATTTGTAATCATGGCAGAAAGCCTGAAACACTTAGTTACTAAACTTTTCTTATAAGGTAAATATGGTACTTTTAAGATTCCAGTGAGACCAGAGACCAGTTGACTGTACTCAAGTAAGACTTGACATCACTAACACCAACAGGGTCACTTATGTTTCAAAATTGGCTTTATGTGAAATATTGCATGTAGCCAGTGCCATTTATATTGTCACAATTGAACTTTTTGCTTTTCCTCACCTTTTATGCTTGCCCCTGAAAAGATTTTTTGAAAGAACTAACATATTTTTCTTTTTTTTTTGAGTTGGCATCTCACTCTGTCGCCCAGGCTGGAGTGCAGTGGTACATTGCTCGCAGCCACCACAGCCTCGACCTGCTGAACTCAGGCAATCCCTCTGCCTCAGCCTTCCAAGTAGCTGGAATTACAGGTGTGTACCACCACCAGCTAATTTTTTTATTTATTGTAGAGATGAGATCTCACCATGTTGCCAAGGCTGGTCTTGAACCTAAAGGCTCAGGCAATCCTCTCGCCTCTACCTCCCAAAGTGCTGAGACTACAGGCATGAGCCACCACGCCTGGCAGAACTAACATTTTAATGAGATATCATTATTTTATCCAATGGTTATTTCTGAATTAAGTAACCCAGTCAAAATTGATTCTCTATAGATGCTGTGTATTCATATATTGAATCCAGATTTTTTTTTTTTTTTTTTTGCATACCTGCTATGTGCCAGACACCATACTTTGAGGACATAGATTGCCATAAGTCTTTCATTTCTAGGGAAGAACTGAATAGACTAGCACTCAAAATTTGTTAGACTCTGATAGAAGCATCCACAGAGCACTGAGGAAGTGCTGAGGAGGGAACTCAATTTGACTTGGGAACAAGAGAAAAGGTGATGATAGTTGAATTAAAACTTGGAGAACCAGCTGAAGTTAGTCAGGTACAGGAAGCTGGGGGTGGAAGAAGGTACCAAGAATAGGAAGGAAAGCTCTAAGCCATGGATGTGAGAATATGACATTTTTGGGAAACTATAGAACTGGTACACATTGAGTGTCAGTATGAGAGCTGGTGCCATGCTTATGGATGGAATCACAGGGAGAATGTGGTAACTGAGGCAGTGTCGGGAATCACATTGAAGAGTGAATGGAGGAGAAGGGGAGCACCCGAAGAAGACTGAGGAGGGGAAGCGGTAAGGACAGGTGTAAACCAGGAGAAGGGAGTGCGTCAGATGTCAAAGGAAGCTGAGGCTAAGGGAGGCACCACTCAACTAACTCACACTAAGGAGAGAAAAGTAGCAACCAGGTCATGAGAAATCCAATAGAGGCTGTGGGGTAGATATGACTTTCAAGTAGATCAGCTGGAAGAGGAGGCAGGAGGAGAGAGAAACAGCTAGAAGTGGTATAAAGTAAAAATAGAGGCCTTTTTTTTTGAGTTGGAGTCTCACTCTGTCACCCAGGTTGGAGGGCAGTGGCACGCTCTTGGTGACTGCAGCCTTGACCTGCTGGGCTCAATGATCCTTCTGCCTCAGCCTTCCAATTAGCTGGAACTACAGGCAGGCATACACCACCATGCCTGACTAATTTATTTGTTTATTTATTGTAGAGATGAGTTCTCGCCAAGTTGCCCAGGCTGGTCTTGAACCCGTGGGCTCAGGCAATCCTCTTACCTCAGCCTCCCAAAGTGCTGGGATTCTAGGCATGAGCCACTGTGTCCGGTGCAATAAAGGCCTTTTGAAAGTTAGTTTTAATAGTTATTAACACATAAAGCCTTTTGTATGCCAGGAACTCTTTTGAACACAACGAATTTTTTAACTCATTTTATTCTCATGGCAACTTTAAGGTCTAGGGACTATTATTATCATTTCCACTTATAAATGAGACACTGAGGCACAGAGAGGTTAAGAAGACTTCCCAAGGTGAGAGGCAAAGCCCTCATTCAAACCCAGGCAATTTGGTTCCAAAGACTTTGTTCTTAATCCCTCACACTATAGTGTCTTTTATTTAGCCACTGAAAACATCCCTCCCGCATCCCACAGTCACCCACCCAAAAGAGGATGCCCAATGGGAAGTCAGCATGTGAAGAAAAGGCAAACATTCCCTCCTAAATAAAACAAATAGTTGTTAAAGAACCTACTATATGTCAGGCACTGTTCTCCCAAGAATTATCAATGAGGGAAAAATAAAAGACAAAACCCCCAGCATTTTTGCAGCTTAAATTCTATGAGGGGAAGAAGTAAGCAAGATCAATTAGTAAACTACATATATTAGAAAATGATAAGGACAATGGAAAAAATAAAAACAAAGCATACAAAGATGGTAGAAGATTCCAGCAGGTCAGATAAGAATTACAATTCTCAGATAGGATGGCCTGGGAAGGTCTCATTGGGAAAGTGACCTTTGGCCAAGGAATTAAAGGAGGTGTGGAAAAGGCCACACAGATCTCTTGGACAAAAGCTTCCAGACAGAGGGACCAGCAAGAGCAAAGGGTTAACAGGACCCTTCCTTTTCTGCAGAAGGGTTTAACTTTTTTTATGTTCTCAGCTTTCCAGCTCTGTTTCCCTGGAGACCTGACAAAGGTAGAATGTTAACTGTGTTACTAGGCAACACTGCTTAAGCATAAATGACCACTGATTGGTCAACTGCATCTGGACTGGGAGAGTGATAAATGCCTGGTTTCACCGGGCGTATCAAGTGATTTTGGCGACACTTATAAGCATGATCCTTGACACATGGAAGATACACCTTTTGAGTAACAAGAGATATTGGGTCCTTTGGGGCATAAGACTTTTAAGCCAGGGTAAGTCCTACCTAAATTAGACATCTTTTCTTGCACCCAAGATGGTATGGGGATGGAGAAGCTTGGGGAGGCAGTAGTGTGGACTACTAGGTGGATAGTTGTAAAGGTTTTCCCAAAGAGGGGAAGCCTGTTGCTGCCTTGCTGGTGACTCCAATCCTGAACTTTCTAAGTGATTCTGGTACCAAATGAGGTTGATGATCCTCTTATAAATCTGAATGTTAAGATGAACCTAGAAGGAGCCCTGATGATGTTATAGGCCTGAAGCAAGGATATCTCTGGCATGAGGAGAGGCCAGGAGACCAGTATGCTGCAACAATGTGAGTGAGGAGAAAAACAGCAGAAGGGAAGGTCATGGCATTGGGGGTGCCCAGTCATGGAGGGCCTTGTGGACCACTGAAAGGTTTGGCTTTGCTCTGAGTGAGACGGGACATGTTTGGAGGATTTGAACAGAGGATGGTTGTGATTGGACTTATGATTTCACACGACCAACCCAGCTTTTGAATACGTTGTAGGGAGTCAGGGTGGAAGCGGGAGATTATTTGGAAGGTGAGTACAATCATCCAGACAAGAGATGATTAGATGGTTTGGACTGGCGTGGAAGCAGCAGTTCTGGGTATATTTTGAAGGAGAAACCATCAAGATTGCTGAAAGATTGAGTGTGAAATATGGGAGAAAAGGAGAAATTAAGGATAATGCTAAGAATTTTAGGCCTGAGCAACTGGAAAAGTTTATTCTTGAACATATTGAGTTTTAGATATACAGAGGGTGCCAAAAAAAAAAAAGGTATACACATTTTAGAAAGGAAAAACCTGTATTAAAATTGTAATAATATACACCAATAACAAAAGATGAATACAAGTCGTGTTTGATGTCTGCAATTACAAGAGGTGCTCAAAGTGGTTACTATCAGCATCCAGACACTTCTTCTTCTTCTTTTTTGTGAGAAAGCAGGGTTTATTGAGAGGACAGAAAAGCCCCCACAGTGGGAGGCGATCCGAGGGGGTAGCCCAGCATCCAGACACTTCTGATGATGATGAACATTGCTTGAGCAATGTTAACCAAAGTGACTTCTTGCAATATTGCGCATGCCATTTCAATTTCTTCCTGAAGTACGACCAATGTTTACCATTTTCTACAGCACACCACATCCTTTAAGGTCCCCTACAGGTCTAAGATAAGGGATGTTACATCAGGAGAACACGGGGGAAACAACCACAGCTCTTCGTCCAATCCGTTGTCCTGGCAAATTCTCACCATACTTCCACCATTTTCTTGACTGTCTTGCCCATTGCATGGTGATGCTAGCATTCCCTTGATTAACACCATCTTTCGAGTGAATGGCAAATACATTGCTACCATAATTCAATTCAACTTTGAAAAGTAATACATAGATAACATCGCTTAAAATTTGTATACATTTTTTTGGCACCCCCGGTGGGTTTAGTAACCACATGGAGATAGTAAGTGATCAGTTGGATCTACGACTGAGGAGTTTAGGATTAGTGATAAATGGTAATTTTTTTTTTTGAGTTGGAGTCTCACTCTGTTACCCAGACTGGAGTGCAGTGGCCGCTCCCGGCCACTGCAACCTCAACCTGCTGGGCTCCGGCGATCCTTCTGCCTCAGCCTTCCGAGTAGCTGGAACTACAGGCGTGTGCTACCACACCCAGCTAATTTTTTTTTTTTTTATTGTAGAGATGAGGTCTCGCCAAGTTGCCCAGGCGGATCTCGATCCCGCGGGCTCAGGCAATCCACTCACCTTGGCCTCCCAAAGCGCTGAGATTACAGGCTGAGCCACCGAGCCTGGTCAATGGTAATTCTTAGGAGGAAGGAGTGATGGAGCCAGGAACCAGATGGAAGGATGACCCTTGATCTGGGTGGGTGGGGGGGGTGCATTTTATTTGGAAGGGAGACAGAAAAATGGGGTGTATGCATATGGCTTCTGATTTCTCTGTGATGGAGAAAGCAACGCATCTGCTGAGACACTGTGAGGGTGAGGGAGGAGGTAGCAGGAAGTGGCAATAAGGAAGGCTGTGGAGTAGGGGACCTTAAGGAGAAGGGCAAAGATTTGGG